TGTTTACATTTATAATACCTTTCTCTAAATGAATGAGGTTTCTCAAAAGGAAATATAGCAAAAGGGCATTTAAACAAGTTTTGAAAGCAAAGAAATATTCAAATTAATCTTCTCTAATTGAGCTCTTTCTGTACTACTGTGGCTTAGTATTTATGTTGGATGCTAAATGCAAGACCCCACAAGGACTTTAGGGGTGCTCTGAAAAATGCAGAAATCATGACCATAAAGATTTTGAGCTTCTCGACAAAAGTTAAAATCTAAATGTTAGGAGCTCTGATGATGACAGTGGGGTTGTTGTTCAATGACTCCTATGATTCCACCAGGAAGCTGCCTTGAGACCATGTCAAGTCTGATTTGACAGTTGTCACACAGGGGCCAGCGTGGGTGGTGGCAGACCGGAGTCTGCGGATGGAAATGAGTGAGCGTGGACACTCTTCCTTTGTCCCAGACAGTTTTGAGGGTGGCACCGTGCTGTCTGTAACGCGAGTCGGGATCTTGGACAGCAGATACTGGACGCTCTGGCAGAGGGAGTATTGCTTTTAGGGGACGCTCAGTGTGATCAGAGTAACACCGAGGAAGGCACCGCATCTGACGTCCCTTGGATCCCTCTCAAGCATGGCATTTCCTGTGGGCACAGAATAATCCCCCGAGCCCACTGAAAGATGAGAACCAGGGTCTGCAGGTCATTTTATAAGCCCCATCCTGTCCCTCAGGTGTGTCTTCTCAGCTGCTGGAATTCTGACGAGGCCCCGGCAAAGGCAGATCCTTCTGAAAATAGCTGCCTTCCCTTCCACAAATAGAGAAAGGAAGGGGTGGGGACAGGAAGGAGAAGGGACGAAAGGGAGGTCCTCAACCCGCTGATCTTTATCTCAATTGCCTGAAAAAGTATAATAGATATGGATAGACAGATCTGCCAAATTATAGATGGACAGTTACTAAAATACTCCTGAAATATTGAATCAGCGAGGGTCTGCTTTTGATAAAGAGCCTCCAGCAACTCACTTGACTGCCCTGTGTTTGATCATCAGCCAGCAGCTGCAGAGACCAGTTATGACAACCCTGTGAGCAGACCACATGGTCAAGTAGGTATTTATACAGTCTTATCCATGGTCATCTGATTAGCAAGACTTTAACCTCAGTTAAAAGGGAGGGAAAGGTCTAATATATTTATATCCCTCTTACCTCATCCAAATGGGAGACTTACTTCTGCTTCGAGGAGCTGATGTGTCTCCTCGTGTAGGGCCCCGTGCAGATTACTTCACCAGCCCTGCGACGGGCAGCCCGCCTGGCGCCTCCTCGGGAGGACTCGGCTTAAAACGGTTTCTGCTGTCACCATGGTCCAGTCAGACTTTGCAGGACCTCGAGCGTGCCTCCCTGGAGGACTGTGCCAGTTCCCTCCACACCTGTGCCCATCCTGGCACTGAACACGTGGGCCACCTTGGTCGAGCGGGTACTGAAGCCAGCAATCCATCCTTATCCATTTCCACAGCTATATAGACTTTAAATTTCCAATTTTATTTGTTACCTTTTTACTACTAGCAAACTATACTAATGAGATTTTTTTTTTAGCTATGGAATTTGTTGCATCCTTAGAAAGTATTTATTGTCAAGCTTTTAAAAATGTGTTGGTAAATTACCCTCATGATTACTTGTATCATTTGTATCTGTGTATCTTACATTTTTTCTTAAAACTCGGTAGAGAGAGCTCTCCCGCCCCTGCCCGAGGCTGCACTCTGGCCCTCCTCTGGCCATGCCCCTCCCGTGGGGGAAGAGTCTGCAGAGAGGAGGCATGCCCACGCACAGCTGATTCCCACGTCATGCTCACGGTCCCTGGGTCCCTGGCTGTCCTGCTCAGAGGGCCCGGAGCCTGCCTCCAGGCCCGTGTGGACCTCCTCCGTCTCATCCTAGGTTCATCTTCCTAGGGTACACTGGCTGATAGTGAGCACCAGGTCCAAGGGGACCAAGGGGCACTGTAGGGAGGGGTGCGATGGGGTGTGGATGGGAGGGCTGGGTGTCCGCACACGCCCTGTGAGGCGCCTCGTGGGTGGGCAGAGCCCACTGTGGAGAGAAAGGGTGACGGGCTGCACGCCAGGGGCTCGTGCTGCCCACACCGCCCTGTCCCTTCAGAGAGCTTCGAGTATTTGAAATTCGACCCTGGCTTCCCAGGTCATTATGTATATTTATTACAGCTCTCACGTGTTTAGACATCCTATACGGGCCTTCATTCGTACACTTGTCCCTTCCAACTGTGCGTTTATCTCTGTCCATTCCTATTTTCTCCGCCTCCCCCTCAGTCTCAGGAAAAGGAGCGTCCTCCGTCCTTCTCCAGACTAGACCCCTGACTGTGAAGCGGGTCTCCTTCCCCTGCCCCCTCTCTGCGCCTGAGAAATGCAGACCCCCCCCCCAGCAGCCCTCTAGATGCTCTTTCAGTTCCTTTCACACCACAAACCTTGTGCTGAAATTGTCCCCCAAAAGTCACCATTGATTCTGATGCCAGAGGTCGTAAGTCATCATTCTCCTTGATGACATGGTAGTGTCACTTGCAAAGCTGCACAACCACGTCCCCAAACCTACCTACAGGCTTCCCGGCCATGTCCTGCTCTAGCCCTGCTCTCCCAGCTCACCCCGCTCTGTCCTCTCCCCCTCTGCCGAGGAGGGTGCTGCCAGGGCTCGGGGCCACCGCTCTTCTGTTTGTGTCTTCTCCTGGGCAGTGTGTCCCCTCCGAGGGATGACAGCCACATCTCTGACTACGCTAAATAGATTTCTTCTCGGGGGCCCCCCTGGATGCATGTCTGAAGTGGAACCATCTTCCCCAATAATCTAACTGCCTTCTGACTTCCTGTGTGTACATAAAAAGTATTTCAACAGGAATTTTTCTACATCAACTTGGGCTAACCACCATTTATCACATGATTGTTGGGTGAGGTGGGGGGGGGCGAATATATTCCAAATTCCAAACAGTTTATATGTAAAAGAATAAAGCCCACATGGGAAAGGAAATCTTCCTTTTTCCCCAACTTGATTGCAGGCATTCTTTTTTTTAATCCTACCCAAGGATATTTTTTCATTTATCTTCAGATGGAGTGGGAGGGAAGGGGGCGGAGAGAGAAACATCAATGTGAGAGAGACACATCAATTGGTTGCCTCCCGCATGACCCTGACCAGGGCCAGAGACCAAACTGCAACCAAGGTCCATGCCCTTGACCGGAATCTAACCCGAGACTCTTTGGTCCCAGGGCAACGCTCTAACCACTGAGCCAAACCGGCCAGGGCTGATTGCAGACATTCTTTAAGCACTTACGCAAAAGACACACCAGGCCCACTCACGGATACTGAAATTCAAAGATGAATAAGATATGGGCTCACCTTCAAAGAACTCACCAGTTAAAAGGAAGACATGGAAGGAAACCATTGCATTCCCCCACTACACCTAGAGAGGTGTTATACCAGGTAGGAATTCAAAAGGCAGCTGCTGACTGCTGGCCAGTCAGTGGACAGACGGGAGTGATTCTCGAGCATTCTGTGCCTCGCACCCCGCGTACGCCCGGAATCTTTTGCCCGAGACCCGCACTCAGAGTTTTCTTTGCGGGGGCCCCAGTTGCCCAGATACCCTGAGGCCTGTTCTGACCTTCATATCGGCATCACAAAACTCTTGGGGGGGGCAGGGAATCTGGAGGCACCAGCCCGGAGAGAACCGTCCTGCCCGTTGTCCTTTGCCGCGTGCCCCAGACTCTCCAGATTCTGCAAGAAGCCTGCACCTCACTCCCAGCCCCGGTCTCTCCTCCACTGGCAGGACTTTCTCACGTTCATTGTGAATGCGAAAATGTTAGAGGTATTTTCTAAGTTGAAAAGTGTGTGTTTTACACTATCAAGTAGAAAAGCAGGTTATAAAGTCACATGGGCAATGTTATCCATTTTGATTAAAAATGACGCCAGTGTAAATGTGTCTGTGTGAACGTGCGACCTCTTACCCGCAGAGTACAGGACATGAGCCCTAGGAACTCCTACAGCAAACGGTAGCACAGCTATCTCTACGTAATGAGATTACGGGTCATTTTTACTTCCTTTTTGTTTGTTTTTTTCTGTCATTTATACAGTGACTATGTTTCAGTTTTCATTCAGAAAAAAAGCACGTGCATTGGTTTTTCTGTTGTTGCGTAACAAATCACCACGAACAGCCATTTAAAGCAAGATCCATTTATTAACTAACAGTGGGTAAGAAGCCCAGGCAGGTCCTGTGTTCTCTGCTCGGGGTCACCCTGGGCTGAGAGCAGGGTGTCGTCCAGGCTGGGCTCTCACCCGAGGGCTGCTAGGAAGGATCTGCTTCCAAGACCGTTTGGATTGTTGGCAAACTCTGGTTCCCTGTGGCTGTAGGACTAAGGTCCCCGTGTGCTGGCTCTCGGCCAGGGTTGCTCCCAGATGCCACTCTCAGGGCCTTGCTCTCGGTCCCCACAGTTTCAGCCACAGACAGCCCCACATGTCAACCCCCCCACACCCCCCGCACTCATAATATTAGATCAGGCCTACCTAGATCATCTCCCTTTTGATCGACTCAAAGTGAACTGATCAGTAACCTTAATTAAATCTGTAAAACCCCTTCTCCCACATAAGGTAACATGAGTGGTATTCATCGGTCCTGCCCCACTGAGGGGACAGTGTATGTAAGCTGTCTAAGCCAGGGGGCAGGAGTCTTAAGGGCCACCTTAGAATTCTGCCTACCGTGGTGTGTATATGTGTGTGTAATTTTTTTAACTCTCCCCTTAAAGTTAAAAATGGAATTTCTTAATTTCTCACCACATTTTCTGCCTCCTGCTGGAGAGCAGAGATCACACAGGAGGTGGACCAGAAGTGAAGGAGCCTGGACTTGGTTGCCTTTGCTGGTGAACACTGTCTGTCCCTGCAGCTCTGGACATAACACACCACAGGCTGGAGGCCTGTAGGTCCAGTGACAGTTCTGAAGAGGGCAGAGGCCTCTAACACTCTGATCCTCTTGCCTGCAGTATGACATCAGTGGACATTCTGGAGATGGCTACAACATCGACCTGGTTCCCGTGAACAAAATCCCCAAGGACAATAAGCAGAGACTAGAGATTCTGAAGGTAAATACATTTAATTATCCCTGTATTGTGAAAACTCCCGCCAGATTAGGCAAAGTATCTTCTGATCACTGAAAAAGTCGCTGAAGAAGCAGCAGATACAGGAAAGAAAAAGACTTTCTTGTTGCCTAAAATCCTTTTCTCTACCACATAAAGTTTAAGCTTTGTCTCCTGAGTATTTTTCAGGCACTCGGTATTGTATCAGGATTCTCCATCCTGGGTCTCCTCCTATATCCTGTATTCCCAGCCCCTAGATATTTCCAAAGAAGGAGGAAAATAACTCCTTTGAACATACTCTCTAACCTCAATTCATGTGTTTCTTAGAATTTTTACTGATACATTTAGTTTTACACACGTAGGTCTACACTAGACACACACCCCATGATTTTGATGTGAATTTCCTGTTGCTGTGATGTCGGCACAGCCTTTTATCACAACTTTGTCGGAAACTGCCCATCCCTCATTCTTCTCCAATGTTATCTTCATCCTCCAGTGATACCAAGTTCTATATTTTCTTACATTTTCTCACTTGAAATGGCTACTTGAGTTTTTAGTTAAATGCCAGCTGGGATTGTTTTGGAACATTTCCTGTTTCTAACAAAAGTCTTAGCCACACACAAATATCACCATGTGCTCCTGGCACACTGCTGTGCCACTTGAATGGAACTCACTCGGAGGCTTCTGTTCCTGTGTAACGAAAAGAATGCTGTTTGTGCATTCTCGTGGTCAGTAGAAAAATCGTCATGTCTGTTAAAAAGGTGTTTCTCACCTGCGGCTTCTGTACATCTTCCCCCAGACCATGCATGCCCACGCTCAGTTCTGCATGAGTGGGGACCACACGTTAGAGGGGACAAAACATGCCATCCAGGAAATTGTCAAAGAAGAAGCTGACGAGTACTTTGTCATCATCCTGAGTGATGCAAACCTGTCACGATATGGAATACATCCTGCCAACTTTGCCCAGATCCTGACAAGCAACCCTCAAGTAAATGCTTTCGCCATTTTTATTGGATCTTTAGGTGATCAAGCAGCCAGGTAAGTGTTACCTCAGGATATAGCAAAGGGCAGGCACGAAATACTTGAGTCCCTGACACACAGCATCTGGGGGGGGCAGAGAGGGGGATGGAGGAAAACGAAACTAGAGTCTCTCCCCTGAAGGAGCTGACAGTCTACTTGAGAGGATATGATGTTCTAGCTTATGTATGATGAGCAATAATCATTTTAAATTAATTATCCTTCAGTTTATATTTAAACTTACCAATAATAAAATAAAAAGCAAATTGGTTTGTCTAGTAAATTAAACAGTGGCCGATACATTTTGCACTGTACATCTAGGTCCCAAGCTCAGGTCTAATTCAGTTCATGTTCAAATCATACTCCAAGCAGCAAACATCTACTATTTGCCTCGCATAAGAGATTGTGTGTGTGCATGTGTATAATGTGCATAGACACATACAAACATATATAAGGAGTACATAATTTATGTATACATATGCACATACATTTATATAGACACACATGTACACACACATATATCCGTATATATGAAATGTAGAAAGACAGATAGCCCTCCCTGACTGGGGGGACAAGGCAGGCGAAACGCCTGGAGACAGCGTAAGACAGCCTTGTAGTAAGATGCTGCATTGAATATACTGAATGTTCCGCAGAGAAATTTATGGTCAGACAATGAATACCATTGTGGACTATCTGAAAGCAGAGATCTGGAAACACTTGCAATGACTTAAACACACTAACATTTCTCTTTCTGAATTACAAACAGAAAGAGCTCATTTTTTTATCTGCTTAAAATACGTGTAAGAAGTAGAAACCCAAGTGAAAGTATATTTTCTCCGCTAGCAAAAAATAATTCCTGCCCAAAACTCAAAAGGCCACATGCCTTTTTGTTATTTCGCTTTGACCCGCTGTGGTCTGGTTTAGAGCTCTGTATAGAATGGGCATGTTTTGGTGTCCAAAGAGCTGGCATTATTTTCTCTTTTTATTCCCTGCTCCATGCTACAGGATTGCCGAGTAAGGTTAAGACTAGACTTAATATCACATAATTACAGTCACTTCATTACTTTGCATTTTTCTCAGTTGTGTGTGTTAGCCTCTTCTACAACTTCCACGTCCGCGAACACAAGCTGCGCCTCTTCCACCCAGTTTTCCTTCACGGCCAGCCCGTGTTTAGCAGACAGCAAGCTCAGCAAATACTGCTTGAGCTGAAATAGCTATTTTGTCTTTCTAGTGAACAGATCCTGTTTGAATACTTAAGAAAGCACAATAATACCCTTGTGGTTTCCTAGGGAAATGGTCCAACATCTACTGGCAAAAGATATGCTGCAGAATTAGCTGGTCTACCGGGCATGCCAAATGTATGATACTACACAGGATGGTTGACTTTTATTCAATGTCATTCGAAAACCAAACTTTGTTGGCACAGTGAAAGGAGGCGTTCTTTTGGACAGAAATGTGTCTTGCACTTTTATTGCCTTCAAAAATGGTCCTTTGTTCCAAATGATAAATTGGCATTTAAAAAAATTATCATATGTCTGTATAACCTCAGTGCCATCGAAGTGGCAATTGCATAAGTCAGATTGCATTTCACGCTGTGTGATGGGGGCGGGGGGGGGGGCAAAAGAGGGGGGGCGGGGCGGGGCGAGCCCTCGGGCTTGGCTGGCAGCGGTCTTTGAGGCCTGACTGCGAAGGCAGGACAAGCACTTAGAGGGAAGTGTGAGGCCGCGTTCACTGGGCCCAGGTGAGCCGGCCTCACACTGGTTCCAGGCTCCTTCTGTCAAGGGCATAGAAAATGCCAGAAAATGACAGCAATAAAAGGGAGAAAAAAATTTTTTTTTTCAAATTCACTGATTTTCTCACTGAAAAGACCTTTCCTTCAGTTCACTCTTTTTTTAAAAAAATGTATTGTTGACAGTATTATAGATGTCCCGGCCCCCCCACCGTTGCCCCCACCCAGCCCCCTTCTTCAGCGGGTGCTCCCTGTTCTCCCAAACCCCGCGCTGCCTGGTGACGGCCCTTCCGCTGCAGGCAGGCCGGTGGCAGGAAGCAGGAGCTTCCTTTCCTGGGACGCTGCTGGGACCTGTGGTTTGTGGGGGCAGGTGGGAAGGAGCGCCCCAATTTGCAATGGTAATTTTCTTTCCCTTCCATCCTGGCAGGCTGCAGAGGACTTTACCGGCTGGCCGGTCTTTCATTGCCATGGATACCAAGAACATCCCTCAAATTTTACAACAGATCTTTACCTCCACCATGTTGTCCAGTATCTGAGCGTGTCCTCGTCCTGAGCCCCGGGGTCCGCAGTGGAAGGAAAGGGGGCGCAGTGACGCGGCCCACGCAGTGCGGGCCGCCGGCAGCTCTGCTCTCCCCACGCTCGTCCGGTGTCAGAGTTCCGAACCGTGGCCGGGAGGGCTTGTGTCTGGAAACCACCTCCACCGATAGCTTTACAAACAATCGAGGAAGCAAGGCGGCCTGCGTTTTATAAAAGGTGAGGGATAAAGGAAGGCGGTTGGACAACTGTGGTACTTAGTCTGTTTCCAAAAACCCGAGGGAAAGAGAATACTGAACTTCTGCCTTAACGCGTCATCTGGTCACCTAAGATAACGAAAATGACCTCGTCGCGCTGAGCCTGGAGGCCTCATTCTGACACGCATTGACGAGTCTACACAAACCCACCCAACTCGTTCCTGCCCAATAATTATTTTTATTTTCTCCCCTACTTTGTGTTGCCCAACAATGACGTGATAGTGTTAAACCCGCTGAGCAGTCCTGCTAACCACGGCATTTTATGAAAGGTTGGATTTTCTCAGTAATTCCATTTTCTTGGCCAAAACCGAAAGGAATCAAAAGATCCTTGGATTGCTTCCTTTCCCACGTGACTTTTAAAAGGTTCTTGAAATAATAAAGAGCAAATGCCCTGTTCTCTGTGCTGCCGGGACTGGAGGGACAGAGGACGCCTGGCCTCGGGTTTCCTGCTGCTGCTTGTTCTCCTGCAGCCTCGCGGATTCCACACTGCTCCCCTCCGGCCCAGACGCAGTGCTCGCCTAATACCTGCCTGTGTTGTACTGGAAGCAAACCAAAAACAAGGCAGTATATTGGAACTGAATGATAACTGGAGATTTCTTTAGCTGTTCAAAAAATACTCTTTTTAAGCCTGATTCTTTTTCTTTCAAAGTGTACCTTACTCCCACCCTGTCTTGGGCTGACCTTTATTAATCAATAGGCTCGATGTCACTTTGTTTAAAATCAAATGCTTCAGCCCTGGCCAGTATTGCCCAGTGGTTAGAGTGTAGGCCCGTGGGCCAGAGGGTCCCGGGTTCGGTTCCCACTAAGAGCATGTACCTCGGTTGCGGTTTGTCCCCAGTTCTGATTGGGGTCGTGTGGGTGGTGACTACTCAGTGTGTCTCTCTCACGTCAATGTTTCTCTCTCTCTTCCCTACTCTTTCCCTCCCGCTCTATCTGAAGATAAATGCAAAAAATGTCCTCGGGTGAGGAAATAATTAATAAATAAATAAATAAATAAATAAATAAATAAATAAATAAATTTAAAAAATGCTTCAGCAGAACTCAGTCTCTCTCCAACCATACACTCAAGTTCCTCTTCACCACTGATGCAAAGTCAGAAACCCTGGGGGCACCAGTGTGCGGGCCGCCTTATGATAATTTGGAAAAACTAGCCTTGTTAATAATGTTACCTAATTTACTCATATATATAGTAGTGAAATCATCCAGATTCGTTTTATTTTAATTAATTAGAGGAAATGTAAAAAGATGACACCCATTTGTTCCACCACCCTAGCGCCCTATCGAGTGTCAAAGAAATAAAAGCAATTGGATTTCCAAAACAGTATTGCCAACGAGTTTGCAAGGCACGTCTTGTTTTTCTAACCAGAGCATGCTCTGTGTGTGACTCATCCAATGATGCAAACGATTGCAATCCAGTAAGTACCTTTAAAAATGTATTTACATGACCAGCAATAAGAATGAGAACGGGAACAACAGCAGCTAACGTTTACTCACTGTGCGCCAGGTATGCTAAGTGGTCTCATGTTATTTCACTCAATCCTCACAGCAATGCCTGAGAATAGATACTTGTCACTTCTTTTTACAGACAAGGAAATGGAGGCTCAGGAACGTAAGTCACTTTCCCAAGATTCACAGTATTAGATTATTGACTATTCCTTGTACTACTAAAATCCTCAGTTTACAAATAAGGAAACTGAGGCTCAGAGACGGTCAAGAAAATAGGCATGCCCACTGTCGGGGGCGGAGCCGGGCTGCGCTGGGCTCTCCCGCTCTCTATTCCCGCAATAGCCGCGGCTCTCGGGGGCTTTCTCTTCTCGCTCCCCACGCGGTTTCTCGTCTTGTACAGTGGCCACATCTCACAGAGCACAGACAGTTCTCGGTGCTCAGAACTGTCTGCACACATGCAGGCTCCGAGCAGGGTGTGGGGACCGAGGACGGGAGACACTGCTGGAGGGACATTCTAGCGGCTCCTTCCCGGGCACGGCAGCAACCTGATGATGTTTCCATACAAGTGGCAGCTTAACCCCAGGGGTGCCCTCTGCCAGAGGGTCACAGCCCCCCAAAGCCTTTAGAAGTCCAACCCAAGAGTGATTGACAGAGCAGCCTATTGACAAATCTTCCCCTTGTGTAACTACCTGAGTGAGCACAGCCTTTTTTTAGCATAAAAAGAATGTCCTCAAGTAGTTTATTCTCCTTTCCCCACTAGCCAGATAGCCTTTGCAGTTGTTATTTTGAAAAAACAAACAACAAAAGAAGCGTACAGCTCTTGGCTTTTCTGATTTGTAAAGGGGAAGGATGATGGGGGAGGGGAGTGGAGAATGAGAAGATGAAGGGTTTTATTTTCACTTCTTGCAATACCTAAGGAGTTTGTGCCTTTATTATTACATGCACTTAATTTTGGGTCACTCCAAGCTGTTCCCAGGCCCTTCTTAGGGCTAGGATGTTATAATAAATGCATTGTGTGCCTCAGGGGTTCCATTGAAAGGCCTCTAACCCTGGCTCCGTCTCTGTAGTGAGCTCCTGTGATGCTGAGAAGGTCCATTGTTGTCCATGAGCAGCCAGGAGGAATGAATGCTATGAATAGCGCAGTATATGGTGTGTGCTCCCTGGAATCCTTTGTGTGCCCAGCAAAATGACCTCACCGCACCGGGCAGCTCAGGCACAGCCACAGAAGTTGATCAGAGCGGGAGTACTTGAGCCCATCACATGTTTGGAATGAATCATTCAATTCTTTACACTACACCCTTTCCTGTGAACTGTCAGAGGAGCAGAAATCCATCAATGCCAGCAAGGTTTTCTCTAAACACGTCCTAGGGCTTTGCGAGCCGTTGAGAAGTGGTCTTCTGTAGCCAGAATGTCAGTGTTCCTGAAAGGTCAGTTCCCGAGGCTACAGCCCTTCCTCCACCTGGCTCCCTCCTGTGCCTGTCAGATCAGCCAAAATTAAATTTCTCAGTGAACAGAGCAGAGAGGTACAGGACTGGGGGGAAGAGCGGCAGTCGCTTGTTCATTGCGTTTCTTTCTCATTTGTTTCTAACAGTCATTATTATAACAGATATTCCAGCCCTGTCCAGTTTGGCTCAGTGATTGGAGCGTCAGCCTGGAGACCAGAGAGTCCCAGGTTCGGATCCTGTTAGGGGCACGTACCAAAAAAAAAAGGAGAGATATTCCACAAATTCTAAGCTGATATCTCCTGACTGGACCACTTTTTCTGGAATTGCATCTCAGGAATAGTCAGATGTCCACTTGTGTTTAGTATATTTTACGTAGCTTTTTCATCTTATTAGGAAATAAAATGTCCACTTTTCAACAATTACGCCAACCCGTACCATATGGCTTTATAAAATGCATAGATGAAGAGTCTCATCTACTTCAGCTGCTGGTCAGGGCTGTGTGGTGAAGTCCTTGCCTAGGACGTGCTGTGACAGCGCCCCCCTGGTGCCGTGCTGGAGAGGCGTCCCGGGGAGCCCCTGTGGAGGGGACAGTTCACCAGCTCTGGGTGGAATCAGTCATGGAAAGGAAGTTCTGGATGCTCCTCAGCCATTAACTAACTGCCTGTGCAAACTTGGCTAATCTCTCTGCATCTCAACTGCTTCATCTATGAATTTTAAAAGTTGGACAAAATTATCTGGAACCAAAGTTCCGTGTTCCTACATCTCACATAGTGAGCTAATTTTGTCCCTCGTTGTCTTACAAGAACCACATCATTTCAGTGTATTTTGTCTCCAGACCCCCCTGCCCCCACACACACCTTAGCAGAGGGCTTTGGCTGTGACAATCGCCCTAACAAAGAAGGTGCTGACCCTGTGCGCATTCTCAGTTACGTAATCGTCCTTAGAATTGGAAAAGAGGGGCCTTCCCTCAGCTGCATAGATATTTCTGGGGAGAATTTCTGACCATTGTCTCTTACTTTGCACTTTGCTGCCTTAAAATGAAACTCCCTGTCTGCTGATCTGCACGGGGGATCCAAGAGGATGGGAAACTGGAAAACCACTGTGCCGAGAGCTGACCTCTGTGCCTCGCTGAACAATGTGCAATTGTGTGTGTGGTTTTCTTCATTGTTAAATCCTGTAAACAAAAGTGTCCTCTGGGGGAAATGCTGCGGGGCTACCCCCCAGGTGGAGGAGAGCGGTGGACTCTGAGCCTCCCCACAGAGCGTGTCCCCTCCCACGCAGCCGCCCCGGGCTCTGCAGCGCCAGGTTGCGGATTTTTCAGTCGAGTGGTGCTTGTGGTGTTCGGCCACCCAGAGCAGAGAGAGCATAGCACTCTTTTAACGTGGTTTGGATCCAGAGGGTGTGAAGGACAACATGTTCTGCTCTAGGGAATCTCATCAAGAGACATCACAGCCCGGAGGAGCCACCACCGGCCCTCCCCCTCCACAGGCTTCAGTGAAAGTGTCTGGGAGCCGCCAGCGCCTTCTCTGCAGGAACGGTCCGGTGTTGGGCATGACCTCTGACCCAAAGGTGGTGGGCGTGACCCCGAGGAGTTTCAGACCAGGAGCATTTATTCAAGTTGCATGCGACATTATGGTGGTGGCTGGAGCTTGACCTGGAAACGGACAGGAACAATGTCTGTCTGTACATCCTAAAGCGAGTTTGTCTCCTAATGTAGCTGGAGTGTGGCAGGAAAATAATGAGCTTGTCAAGAGGACTGTAATTGGTCTCATGATGCCATACTTAAAGCCTTACTAATTGAAACAAAGAAAAGAAGTGTATTTACTCAGACAGGACATTAAAATTGGAATTTTAAATGCAATATATGCATATTAATAAATATCAATGCTAATATAATGAGACCGACCATTTCTTCATTCCAACACTAATTAAGAAGTCTTCATTGGTCTGCAGGAATAGAGTGATTCTCAGCACAGCTAATTAGTCTGTTTCCTTTTACAAAAGGTTTTCTGGCCCAGAAAGGAGCACTTGGGGCCCAGTGGCAATCAAACGGCCACGCTGGGGAAGCAGCCTGTTGACCCGCCCGGCTGTGCCGTGCCTCCCGGGGCAGCTCCCGCAGAGCCTGGGGCGCGGAGAAATCTGAGGGTCTGTGCAGCAAGCCGGCATCCCAGACTCCAGGGTGTTATCACGGAAAATAAAAGGGGCAGGTGACCAAGGGAAGCCAGGAAGACCCAGGGCTCAGTCAGTGGACAGGTGGGCTGGGAAATACAGCTGTTTATTTGCGGTTGGTAAAGAAGGGGTCTGTATCTGAAAAGCGTCCGTTAGGTCCCCAGTGCTTTTGAGCAGCTATTTTCCAGGCAGATAGAATATGCACGTTCACTCACTGCAGGCGTAAGTACAAAGACCGATGTTCAACATGGAGTGCCCGAACTAAACCGTTCTCGCCGTGACCTTTCCTGGAAACGGAGCCGCGGGGCGCTCTCTGCGGAGGTGGAAGACTGGCGGCCCCACCGCCGCCTGTGCAGACACGAGTCACTTGGCTGGAAACAGCTCCACGCAGCTGGCCTGGCTGCTGGCCCCTCACATCTGAAGTCTGTCTTGGAGTGGTGTTTCTCGGCAAGAGGGGCTTCTCTTTTAAAACACAACTAGCCCTGAGAGGCTATCCATCATGCACATCTTGGTTGGAATTCCTTCATTCGCACGCCTTCCTCCCAGCCCCAGCTGAGCTGAAGGGCCTCCGACAGACTGTGATGGGGGCGAGGAGGTAAAGCTGCCGGGAGACGGGCGTTTGCAGCTTGGAGCATCACCAAGCAGGAGACTGGGTCTGGGACGCATGTGCGAGCAAGGGACAGGGCCCAGAGCAGATGACATGCTTGTCCTCCCACTCCTCCCAGGAGCTCACTGAGGACTGGCAGG